AGCTAGATGGGATAAAGGTGGGCCTTTCTTTGATAATTTGATTGGCTTCCACAAATGATGATCTTCAGCAATTTTAATGAGGTGAAAAAGCCTTTCCATACATAATACAAAGATATAAGGAGATATAGGGTCTCCTTGACGAATACCACGAGACGGCACGAATTCCTCTAAAGCTTCCCCATTCCAAAGAACCTGCATTGAGGGCGACGAGATACAATGCCATATTAGCTCAATCAATTTCTGAGGTAGGCCAATATCAACTAACGTATCTCTAACAAAGTTCCAATTTAATCTGTCATAGGCTTTTTCAAGATCAATCTTAATGGCCATCCATCCTTTGTTACCTGATTTATGCTTCATAGAATGAATAACCTCTTGAGTTATAATGATATTATTCGTTGTTTGCCTATAAGGAACAAAACTGCATTGATTAGAGCCCACCAAATCCTCCATAATTCGTCTTAGTCGAGTGGCAATCATTTTTGTGAGAACTTTGTAAGACACATTGCATAAACTAATAGGTCTCATTTGTTTCAAAGACATTACATTGTCTACCTTAGGGATGAAAGTAATGAATGTCTTATTTATATCAGCCACCAACTTTGGATCATCATAGATTGAGAAGAGTAGCTTACAAAGTGAAGGTCCCACTGTGTTCCATTGTGATTGGAAGAATATAGCATGAAAGCCGTCAGGGCCCGGGGCTTTCAAACCTCCCATTTGACGAAGAACAGAAAATATTTCTTGTTGAGTAAATGGAGAGGCTAACATGTCTTTTATTTCCTGCGATAGGTTAGGAAATGCATTCGATAGACAGAAGGGCTCACTATTACCTGGTTCAGTAAATAGGGACTTATAGTAATTTGTTGCCAAGTTTTCCAATTCTACTCTATCTTCTATCCAATCACCTGAATCATTTTGTAGTTTAACCACTCGATTTTTTCTTCTTCTAATTAGTGTGGAACCATGGAAGTATTTTGTATTACGGTCTCCCAATTCAAGCCATTTGCAGCGGGATTTCTGAAACCAAAGTAGCTCTTCTTGTATCAGAACCTGTTCATATTCACTCCATAGTTTCTTAGACAGATCTTCAAGAAAGTCATTTCGTTCATGAGATAACTTTGCAGAAAAACCATTTAATCTTTTTAAAAGCCTCTGTTTCTTGAAGAAAATGTTGCCAAAGGTGGTCCGATTCCAATTGGCAAGACAATTTTGAAGAGAACTCATCTTGTTAGCCCATTCTGCTTGTTCATTCCAACCGTTATAGACAACCTTTGAAAGTTCCGGATGGGTAAGCCAGGCAGCTTCAAATCTAAAAGGTCGACGATGATTTCTTGAGTTCATTATACCACCTAGCTTCAACAAAATTGGACAATGGTCAGACTTTAGAGGGTGTAAATGTAGGACATTCGCGTGCGGGAAAATCACTTGCCAATCTAAATTGATTAGCACCCGATCCAGACGTTCATATAAGTTGCCTCATTTCCATGTGAAAGGAGAGCCTTGAAACCCCATGTCAATCAAGTCACATTCTTTCACTAACTCCCTAAACGCAACATCTCCTTTATTGATGGCCCTTTGCTTACCACCATGTCTTTCGCCATCTTGAAGAACTGCATTAAAATCACCTAACAAACACCATGCACCTTTAATCTCCATCGCAATTCTTCTAATATCCCTCCAAAGTTCCACCCGGAATTGGGAATGAGGACTACCATAGACTATTGTGAGATTCCATGAACAAGTTGCTTGCCCAGCCATCACATGAATGTATTGGTTTGAGTTCCTTAAAATTTCAATTTTCCACGTAGAGGAATTCCAAAGAATCCAAATGCTGCCAGCAAATCCATGCGCATCTACCTGAAATGCACTATCAAGTTTGATTCGGTTAATCACATTTTTTGTTGTTGAACCACTGATATGAGTTTCCATAAGACATAACACACCAACATTGTGCTCCTTAATTAAGTCGTTAATGAGTGGTATAAAAATTTTGCTCCCAACCCCTCTACAGTTCCAACTAACTATATTCATCATATCAAGAATTTAAAATTCAGGTTTTGACACCCCAGGGTCATCTTGACTACTCAAACTAGCTTGTCTTCCATCAACATAATGTAACGTTTCTTTCCCTTCCTCAATGAAGTGACGACGCAATAAACCAGCTACGGCATTTGTATGTTCATCATAAGGTTGTGTAGAGCGCATTGCGTCCACGACCTTGGTGAAGGGGATATTTCCATTGTCCGAAAAGTTTTTTAGAGCCGCGAGAACCAGCTCTGTATTGCATGCCTCACGTTCTGCATGAATTGCATGCAAATTTATTGACGTGGGCGTATCAACGTTTCCAACTTGCCGGGACCCACTCATAAGGCTATTTGCATGAAAAAGTTTATCTTCATGTGAAGATTGGGGCTCATTCAACAGGCTTTTCACAGAAGCCACTTTAGCATGAATTCCTTTACCATTTGATAATTGCATATTTGATCCTTTATTACGAGGATATTGCGGATTTTTTTCGCCTGACGTATTACAGAATGTAACGATTTTTGTTGAGATTTTTGGGGCTGACTTGGCAATAGACGAATTTGATGGAACAAAATCTGCAGCATTATTATCGTCACTTATTAGAATCCCGTGATTCTCGGGATTGTGTCTTGATTCGCTTTTTGAATTCTTGCTTCGAGAAAACTGGGGTTTCCTTTTGCGCTTGACAATCATCCATGGTCCATACTGTTCTTCCTGATCGGACTGATTGACCACCGCAGTAGTCATTTTTTATGGTGGCATATGATTATTCACCTTTTGAGAAGATGACTTCTCCAATTGGTTATCCATATCCATAGGCTTCTCTGCTGGATTACTATTGGCATCAGAACCATCATTAATTTTTGAATGAGGACAATGATCTTGTTTATGACCATATATACCGCAATTAAAACAGATCGAATGGAGACCTTCATATTCGAGTTTCAGAATGTGTCCTAACACGTTGATTTGTGCTACCAATTTTTTCTGCAGATCAATCTCAACACAGATCCTTGCAAAACGTCCACGTGATTGAATCAACGTAAGTTTGTCTATTTTTAGCATAGTACCTAATTTGCTCGCAACTCTCCAGAGGAAGCGATCATTGAAAAGTTCAATTGGAAGTCCCGGGATACGGACCCAGGCTGCAATCTTTCGGGTTTGTTTTGCCGTCACTGTAAAGAAAGGTCTCCACCGTTGAACCACTATATAATGATCAGCAATAAGCCAAGGGCCTTCAAAAAGCGCATGTTTGTAGTCTTCCTTAGCAGCAAATTGCACAAGATAAAAGTCTTGAGATATATCCACCAATCTCACCGTTCCATTCTTGGCCCACTCCTTTTGAACCTTATTTTCTAACATTCTATATGCCACTCGTTTACCAAGAACATTGATAACCAAAGAATTTTTCCATGGTGCACACCATTCTTCAAACTCTTCTTGAGTAACATGAATTTTAGGGCATGGGTCAAGCTCCGCAGAATCTTCCTCTAGCAAATCTTGATCCTTATAAAACTCATCTTCCGGGCAATCCATCTCATGATTCAAACTTTTAAAATCCGTGAAGACCTTGCCACCATCATTAGATAGAAGACTCTCCATGTAGGATTTGGACGGGCTTTTATTTTCTTCAGCTTCAACATCAAAACCTTCCATACGAACATCCTATATGATTAAAGGTTCAGGGTTGGACGATTTCGTTTTGACCTTCTTCGTACTCCTAAACCGCGAATCTTCTCCCGTCGACACCTCTGAACCCGAAACCCTAACATATGTATATTTAAGAAAAATTATCACAGAGATACGAAATACCTTCTTTTTCACTGGTATATATAATTCTACTTCCTATGAAAATATGTCTAATTAAAATTGTGAAAAACAGAAAATATTGGGTGCAAGTGTTATTTAATAACGGATAAAAGAATCATCACTTAAAAGAAAAACTAGCAAAACAAATGTATAAATAAAGCATAAAAATGTTTAAAATACACCATAATATTGAGTGGTCTCTCGTCTTATTTAATAGATTATTGAATTCTCTCTTAATTTTGTAATTTTAATTAGCATAAAATATGTTTTTTTATCTTTCTAAAATTATTGTAATTCAATTTTAGTCTTTTATTTATTTTTTCCTTTTTTAATCTCTCTAATTTTAAAATATACCACTTTTTTTTTAAATACTTTAAACAGTGCTTAAAAATGATTAAAAAAATACTATTTAAACTACTTTGAAATTAAAAGAAATGCATTTTCAAATTATAAAGACTAAAATATGACAACAAAATTTAGAGAAATTATAATGAGAAATTTTAGATGAATAAAAAAAAGTGTATTTTACCCTTTTAATTAATAGAAGAAAGTGTCTTCCTACCACTTGGTAAAACAATTGTCAATGTGTAAATGTGCAACATACTTATCTCTTCCATCACTTGTCAGTTTTTTTGCTTACTTGACTATGTCTTATGATCATATTAAAATGAAAGGAGTGACACTTCAAAATTGTTGTCTACTTATGATCATATATAAATAGTCTGCATCTGAACTTGCAAATTGCTTTTGATTTGTACCAGGGCTATATACTATCTGAAAGCAAAGCAGCTTTCGTACTGCAAAGTGCAGACTCACTTGCCGATGACCATAATGAGAGAGGTTTTGTTTAGGAGTTATGCAGATGCGGACAAGGATTATGCTCACAAGACCTGAGAACTGCCTACATGTGCAGAGGATAATTTGGCAATGAAACATTGTCAAAAAGTTATATTAAAATACAATAATCCAGCTCCAGCAGCTATGCTTCTTTTCAGACACTCCAACTTCAACCACCATCGTATGCCTAACACTTAAATATAACTTTTTGACAATGTTTCATCTTTAACGTGTCACTCAAGCTGCAACAGAGCAAAATGATCACCTCACAAGAAGTTACATAAAGACACAAATCACCGATAACAAATGCCATGATTGATTAAGAGAAAACATATTTTCATTAACTCAATTTTTCATTTGCAGGCATGACAATGGACAGAAAGAAAGAATCAATTTAATTGTGTAAGATCCTATTATATCCAACAGTGGAGAACAATAAAAAGAATATCTATATTCTATAGTTCTGTACTAAAATGTTAGTAAAGCAGGAAAAAAGAGAGTTAGAGAAAGGTTTGTTGTGTGCTATCAGTTATCACCACCATTGATGTACTAGAACTCCAAAATTTCTTAATGAAGTAAACAGATCCAGGCACTGAGAATAGGTCTTGTGATACTTGGCACTTCTCTGACCAGGGCAGCATCTCTGCCACCTATTGTAATGGCACTCAAGGAAGAGCTCATCAATCAAGCAGATTGCCCCAGTTTGAATCAACCTTGGAATCAGATGAAACTCAGTGCCTTCAACATCCATCTTCACGACCACAAAATCCCTGCTTGTAACAGAACTCTTGAGCCACTCTGCAAAATCATAACCCTGAATCTTGTCTAAGTCACCCATATGGCTAGATGAAGTTTGCACAGGGTTGATCCTCCCCATCCCACTCCTTTTCATCATCACTTTCTTGCTTGGGTCTCTGGTGATCTCAAAGAACAATGTCTCATTCCTCACCCAAGCTGCAAAGGGTAACAATGTGACCCCTTTCTTTGCCCTATACTCTTCATGAAATGACTTATCAGCCTCAATTGCATAAACCTCAAAGGTTCTGTTCTGTTTTGGGTACTGTTTCCTAAACCAACTACCTATGCTTGAACCATAGTTCCTAGCTCCAACATCAACATACACATACCTATTCTTAAAGCTTATGTCAACTAAAGAAGTTAAGTACTTAATGTTCTTCACATTTTTCTTCAGTATAACCCAAGGTTTCGATGGCTCTTCCTCAATCAATGCCTCTGCATTTTTAACTATTTCACGTTTATACCCCGGAATAGAGCACTTATTCACTAAATTGCCACTGTCTACGGTTTCGGTTTCGGTTTCGAAATTAGGGTTTTTGTTTTTCTTCTTCATCAGAATTTCAAGAACAGGAGAAGAATCAACATCGTTGATTTCTCGAGTTCTGATCAATTCACAGCAATTGAACAATTCAAGGAAAGAATCGAAGCTGTAAGCATCTCTAACCGCCGCGTGAACCGCCGCGAAGCCACCGGAACGGAGTGTGCGGCAGATCTCGGCGGCAAACTCCGCCGGCCGCGGAGACCGCTCCAGGCCGCCGCTTCCGGAGAACTCGAAGTCGAAGGAGTCAGCGGAAAACGGATGCCGACGGCCGTCGCCGTGGACGATCAACGGCGGCGACGGTTTCTTGAAGATTCCGACGGAATCGACGACGCCGATCTCTTTCAACGCCAGGACGTCCTCGCCGGAGGGAGTGTCGATGCAGAGGGCGCGGGAGTTCGGGGAGAGGGAGCCGTCAGCGATGAAGTCCTGGAAAACGGCGGCGTAGTGCTCGACGGAGCGGCGCCAGTTCTTGCCGGAAAACGGATCTTCGGCGTCGGAGGAGCGGCCGGAGGTGGAGAGGTTGAAGTTGTCGGAGAAGAAGCAGAAGTCGGCGGAGTCGCAGGATCCGCCGCGGACGGTGACGATGATAGCGAACCGCGCGGCGAAGATGAGGACGGCGAAGGAGAAGAGACGAACCAGAATGTTCCGCAAGGAGCCGTGTTTCGCTGCGGGTGGCTCCATGGAACGGTTGCGGTGCAACCACTGAGAAGAAGACAATAGAGTTCTCGGAGAGAAAGAAGGGTGGGGTTTGGAAATTGAGTCTGGTTTCAAGGGTAAAACGGGAAACTCATCTGTTTCAATATTAATTTAAAGATTAAAACTTATTTTAAGGCAATATTTTTAATGCATTTTCTTTTACACTTTATTAAAAGTAACTTCATATTCAAAATTGGTATACTTAATAGTTTGACATTTAGTGAAAAAAAAAAACTAAATTAACTGGAATTAATATACTCACATTATTTGAACCAAAAGGTTTAGGCTCATGATACATGCATCTCTCTTTTTTTTATTTTTTATAAGTACATCTTCTTTATATTTTTTTCTAAAAATTATAAAATATTGTAGTTTTTATTTTAATTTTCTAATTTTACATCTTTAACTTTCAATTTATTACTTTCATCTTCTTTTTCACACACTTCTTTTTTCTTTTTTAGTTTTCACATGTTACCAAAATAAGTGGGGTGAAAGAAATGTAAGAGAGTACATGTAAAAATTAAATAAAAAAAAGACAGAAGATGTATAAAAAAATTACTAAATTAAATGTTGTGAATGTAAAATTAAAAAATTAAGAATATTTTAAAATTTTAATTATTTTTTTAAAAAAGGAGGTGTACTTATAGAAAAAAAGGAGGTGTATATATCATGAACCAAAGGTTTAAGGTACTTTATGTCTCTAATATTAAAAATTATGAATAATTATTTTAAAAAAAATTAATTTTTTTTATATTTATGGATATAATCGTCTACTAAAAATAGAGATCAAAAGGGTGATTATTAAAATATATCCCTTTTTATAATATGTATAGAAAATTATGGACAATTATTTATAAAAAAAATTCATATTTAGGGGATATAATCGTCCACTAAAAAGTAGAGACCAAAAGGGTAGTTACTAAGAATATGTCTATCTAAATTTATTTTACTCAATAATTCATATTTTATATCAAATTTTAATTATCTAATTATTAAATTAAAAACTCCTACTGCTTAGATAAGTCTGTAAAATTTTTTAAAAAACTTGAAAACTATTTGATATTCTATTTCATTAATTTAAATAAACATATAAAATACTTTTATAATTATTTGTCAATTTAAATTAATGAAATAAAGTATCAAATAACATTCAAATCTTTTAAAACTCTGCATATTTATTTATACATTAAAAACTTTTAATTTAACGGTTGAATTATTACAATTTAATATAAAATATGAGTTATTACGTGAAATAAGTCTAAAAAAAACTTACATAAGTGGATCTCTCCTATCTATATGTGTGTAAAGTAATCCATCCACGATAAAATAAAAATTTGAAGTTACCGGTTAAACAATACCTATACCTTTAGTTACATAATAGTGATTCAAAAGAACCTGCAACAAGCCATCTATCAACATGGCCATGCAAAACAAAAATCTCTCTCCAGCTAACTTTGTCTTACTCCCATGAAATATCATGATTATAGTAATCTAACTGCTAGGAAAATATGTAAGAATAAGCTAGATATCCAAAGGAATCAACATGTAACAAGTATAAGTGAAATACAAATATACCATCAACAATAATATGTAAATCATCCGACAAGCACCTCATGACTTACATCATACAACATTGAACATGGCATCAACAAGTTTGAAAGACAAGCAATTTAAGCAAATCAAACTTACACCACAACTATATGTCATACAACCATATAAATACCAAAACATATGAACAACACCAAATCATACCACATTATATGCATACATCTCACCTAATGTGTCGTTACGCATTCACTTATGAAGATCTCTTACACCAAAGTGAACAGTCTAAGTGACTTAATTATACCAGACAAACATGTTCTAACATATATGGACCCTTCAAGCTATCCAAAATCGTTCATATATAATCTACACATGCAACAATAATCATAAAAGAATCACCAAAAGAACTTCAACATATATCAAACATCCAAACTCAACTCTTTCATCATACAACTCGAAATTCAATTAATACAATCACATCTTGATATCAATCAAGTGACATACAACTCATCCAAAATAAGGTTCTAGCTTCCATTACCTCAACTCCAAGCAAAAGAGAGGAGGAGGCAAAAGAAGAAGAATGGTTATGCCAAGAACTCCATATGACACATCTTGATTCTTAACAAGGAGCTTTGAATCAACATCCACCACGGATCAAATATGATCTCCTATACCTTTGAGGAGCCTAGAAAGGATGAAAGAAGACCTCCGGATTCTAGAGCACTTCTCTCTAGCTTCTCTTTCTAAGGTTATAAAAAACTGAACTTATGAAACTCAATTCTAAATTTTATTTTTTTATATATTTCTCCCTTCTAAGTCAAAGTATAACTCTGTCTAGAGAAACCTTCTTAAATATCTAAAGACTCTTTAAAAGTTCTTTAACTTATAAAATCTCTTAACACCACATCTCAAAACATCATATAACATACCATTATTGCTAAAAAAATAATTAATAAACACTTATAGTATTACAAAGATCTTAATAAAAATAAAAATAAAATAATTTAATATATATACAAAATAGTTATTTTTTTAATAAGAATTAAAGGAATCAACATCTAATTAAATGTCTGTACATCAAACTCAATTGATTAAATAATATATAAATCATTACAAGTTTTTTTTATATATAATTAATTTTTATAAATAAAAAGAATTAAATGTATGATATCATAATAATTATTTATCATTAAAAAGATCTATGAGTCATAATTTTTTTTTATAAAATTTTACCTTAGTATGTGAAATAATATTTCCCATAAAATTTTAAAGGAATGATAAAAATCTTAAATAACCTAATTACACAACATCATCTTCTATAAAAATAAATGATATTTTTAATTATAATTATAATTTTATGTCTAAAACTAAAATCAATCACAAATTATTTAAAAACTTAAATATCAAATCACTTAAAAGTTAACGACTTTTTAAATTATATATACAACATATATATAATGGCCATCCCTTTAGGCTATACATATCACATCAGGCTATATCACATCATAGAGTGCGTAAACATCAAGTTCATCGATTAATGGTGCAAAAGAAAACTCATCAATTAATAAGTCACCATGTTGTGTGATATTTACAATTCCGCATTCTATCAAAGCAATAAATGGTGTTTTACTACAACTAGCAGGGTACATTATTAATTAAAAATACAAGATGGACTCTACACTCCACTACCAATAATAAACAACTCAAATTCTAGATTAGTCTTGACAGAAATTTTCCCCATCACGATGTTCATGGCCTAGTTAAGAATCTTTCTCACACTTGAATAAGTCATTATATTAGTATGTGAATTTTGATCCAACTTATTATTTAGTGTCACAGTACCATTTTTCCGATCAAATTATACAGACATGATTTAATCCTTCCAAATTTATGAATACAAATCGTACCATTTTATACCAAAAAGCAGACATTTCATCGAACAAGTAGTAGCCAAATCATAAAATCCCTTGTCAACAAATGGTGACCAACCCAAGATATGTTTACTATTTAGATAGATCCATCTTAAGGCTCCAGTTCTACACCCATGCAATACCAGAACTTATATAACTCAGAATAATATTCCAATCAAACATAATAATAAATATGATTTTAGTCCATGTAAAATTGAAAATAGTTTTATTTTAATTTCTGTAAAATATATTCTTAAAAAACTTTTCATTCTATAAAATTCGAAATTATATGTTTTTAGTACTTAATTTTCAACTACTTATATGTTTATTAGAAGGTTAAGTGATTATAATAAGTAGTATATATAATTATATGTACCTTTAAATTCTTTTATAAATCTTTTAAATATTATTTATATATTTTAAAATGATTATTAGAGACAAAAAAAAATACTTTAAATTTGAGAAAGATTAAAATAAAAAATATATATATTTTACATGAACCAAAACTTATTTTTTTTCTCATCCTATAAAAATAAAAAATAATGTTTACAATTTTTTAGAAAAACTAATACAATATTTGGGACTTCACACCTATGAAAATTATAGAAATTTGTAATGTATCCGTGTGACTCCGCACGGATGAAATATATACTTATATATATCATTTTTAAACGTAACAATACAGTATAGAAAATAAAAAAGCTTTTGAATTGAGTTACACATCCAAATAGTAAGAATTATTAAATAATATTCAGTACATTTAAAATGACATGACTTATACATGTTTTTAATATTTGTTTAACAGGTAAGTTTATATCTAATTTCATATTAATCATCATGCAAGATGACATATATATAGCATATACCAAAATCCGATTGCTGCATTTTTTTTTAAATTGAAATGATAATTACGACAAAATTAATTAGTGCAATGCGAGAAAAACACATCAAACTTCTCAGGAAACAACACTAATAAAAAAAATATTGTTGATTCATGTGTTTCTAATTATTATTGCAGAATTGGTAACTTGGACGTCTTAATTAGGAGCCTTGTTCATTCTCAAAACTTTGCTCTCCTCATGTGGCGATATCAGATGTCATGATCCCACTTGGAAAGGATGACAGCTATTTATTTAAAAGGAAAAAAGAGAGGAAACAATTAAGTTGATATTCACTAGCTACCTTACCCACCAAGTAATTAATTAATTCTCAGCTCCCTATCTTTGACTCAGTATGGCTCTTAATCTTATCATATACAAAACCAATGACTTTTGCGGCTTCTATCACCAAAACTATCCTCCTCAAGATATTTTTCCCAGTGAGATTGGTAGGGACCATATATAGGTCCTACATATTATAATATTTTATGATCACAAGAGATAATACACAAAATTAATGTGAAATGAGTGTAATATACTATATGCCATACTAAAAAAAAATATTGCACTATAAAGAGCTTAACTCAGCTGTTTGCACAGTTGTCTGAATTTTTGTAAATTTTTTAATATCAAGTTCAATTATGATGAATAAAAAAATTACTAAAGGACCCTGCAAATGAGACTTTCTGGCTCTCAAACTGAAATCACAAGATTCCTAAAATAATGATAAGAAAAACTTTACAAACACCTGTGTAGCATATAACAATTAATAATGAAATATACTGTATATATACCAATCCTGTGGGTGTGGAAATATACAATAAAACAAATGAAACAAAAAATGGATAAAAATTATATGCAATTTCTTAAGTATTTTTAGTGATATTTTTTCATCAGAATTAGAATTTCACCTAAATAATCTATATGTTAAACTTTACTGTCAACATAGTAGATTACCGAAATGAAATTCTAATTTTGAATCGAGAATAACCACAAAAAATTACCTAAACTATCACATCTAAATTTTGTCCAAAAAAAAAAAGTAATGAATAATCGATCTTATTGGTCAAGTAAAATCTTAAACCAATCCCTTCCAAAAATTCCAACCATCCAAGGCTATGCAAAAGATAATATTCCTTTAACATAGCAAAGAGTCAAGAAACGAGTCATCTCCAGGCTCCTCCTTGGGGAACACATTGTCTGATTGCTGATTCATGTATGACCCCATTGGGTTCCCAAACCCTGAGAATCCAAAACTTCCTGAGTTCTGCTGCATATTGGGGTTGAACTGTGATGGCCTTTCTGGTCTAAGAAGAGAATTGTTAGCGTATGTAGAAGTGGCTGCACTAGTGGTGTTGTTTGTGGTATTGTTTGGCAATGATCTATTGATAGGGTTGCTTCCACTGCCACGTGCCGCAGGCACGTCATGGTTGTGTTTCCCCTCATAGGTTGTGATCACTGCCCTTAGATCATGTGAGGCTCTCTCTACATGCTTTCTCACTGGACATCCTGGGAATGTGCACTTGTAGTAACTCCTACAGTCGCAGATTAAACACAAAGTAGTAAGACAAGACAATCTAGGAATACTGTCTAGACATCACATGGTACAAAAGATTTGATTCCCATGCACACGTGAGAGAAACGAGGGTTGCCAAATTTGACCACAGAAAAGAGTTAAGACAATGCAAAAGCAAAGCAAAGGTGTATCACGTATGCATACTTCAGAATATTTCAACAAAGGGAAATAACTATTGCTAACGTACCTAATAAGATATGTAGATAGATATTATGATAACACGTATCATGCATTTATGATGTGTGTGTAAACCGTTTGAATAGTCAAGGAATGTGATGATTGTATATTATTACTAACATTAGAGTTGAAAACTCTATCATGGGATTCTCAGTACTGTTCTTAATAGTATAAAGTTTAAAGTGGAACAACTTTACAAAAGTTGGATAATTATTGTATCTGTTAATAAATTAAGAAAGGGATTAAAAAGTGCTTTTTTACCTTGGATTTGGATTTCCCTTGACTACTTTCTGCCCATATTTCCTCCATCTGTATCCATCATCTAGAATATCGATGTCACTGGTTGTCTGAACCACAACTCTGGGTTCTCTCACTGTTCTACTTCCTACAGCTGATATTCCCTCATTTTCACCTTCTATCCTCCTGGAAAAATATTAATAAAAAATTAATTAAAATAAAGTTTAAGAGGTAAATATAAAACCTAATACAAATATAAAAGAGTTTTAAGAGTTTATCTACCCAAAATAAAGAGATTTTTTCGGTTGAGAAGTTAAAGAAGTGAATAACATGAAAAAAATAAAACTCACCATCTTTTGGCATCAGGTTCATCATTATCAAACTCATCTCCTCCTGATTTACTATGAGCAAAATCATCATCTTCCATTGATATGGATGAGTTTTCTGGAGTGGCAACCGAATCCATTATTTGATGTGGTGTTTCATTGCTGACAATATTTGAGTGAGGAATTGCAAGTGATGGGGCAGACAATGAGTTCCTCTTGGTAGCCTGAGGCTTGGGATGGTTATGAGTGCCTTTGTAAACTATCTCAGTAATTTGCCCCTCTAAGGACCTTTCAACCTTTTTCTTTGTTGGGCAATTGGGGTATGTGCACTTGTAGTAGCTTCTTGGATTTTCACTTCCTTTCACTTGCTTTTGCCCGTATTTCCTCCAATTGTAGCCATCATCTGACCTTCTGCTTAAAGTCTGAACTTGTGGTGGTGGTGGCGGTGGCTGGTAATTATTATAATCTGATTGAAAACTACCCTTGTGGTTGTTATTCTCAAAAGAGGTTTCAGTTTTCACCATATTCATACTCATTCTTGAAGAAAAACCATCTTGTTTAGCAGTTTCCGGAAAACTCCATCCCTGTTGATTTTAAAAAAAAAAAAAAGGAGGGGTTAAAACATTGCAGAGAATTGAACTTAATTATTCTGAAAAGCATAGAATTTGCTCATAAATTAAATTTGTCACACACGTTTTGAACTATGCGGGTTGAAGATTGAAATCCGGTTGAAGATGGAAGAGGAGGGTGTGTTTGTTTTTGGAAGGAGAAACTTGAGAAGCTTTTGTCTTCTTCTTTGACATGTTGCTCGCTTTCCCCATAACTGCTCTTCCAACTGAAGCCTTGACCAGCAAATGATCCAGTTGTTGGAGATGGCAAAACCTGAATTAAAAAAAAAAGAAGAAAGATCTAATACCCATTAACCCAATAACGAAACAACAAAAAGTTGTCGTATGCAGTATTCACAAAACACAAGCTACACAAGATTACAAAAAAGGAAAAAAAAATACAAAACCATGTTCAAGGTGGCTCACTTGTTTAACATTCATCAAATGGAGATTTAAATATGACTTTCGAATTAACTTAATTTTACACAATCGACTCATACAATAAAATAAAAAGCAGCATGTTTGATTTCACATATCGTGATTTTTTGCATTTACTAAAGAAGCTAATAGTTATAACTTTTACATCTATCCAGACGTGATTTTTGTGCTTGTGAAGAGGTTTCGAAACACATCCTAATAATCAAGTAGTCAAAAAAAAAATGTTTCATTCTTTTCCATTAATTCTACTACCATTGTTTAAGGATATTGTGTAAGGAACCAAAAGGAAGAAGAAAAAAAAAGAGAGAATTACAAGGTTGACTTACGCTAGAAGAGTGAAGGAGAACCGGGGAGTCAAGAAGTTCAGCAAGGCTTAACCCATGAGGGATGGAAAAGTAAGAAGGAGAAAAGGGTGGAAGAGAATGATTGTTAGGAGGGTGAGAGAGAGGGAGAGAGGGAGGGGGTGTGGACTTGAATTTTGGCACACCTGAACCTGTTTGATGATCCCACAACTCCAGAGGTCTTTCGGAGCCTCCGAGGTTGTTGTCGGTGGTGGGAGAAGAAAGAAGGTCAGAGAAAGAAGTGGTCATGAATGGTGTTGAGATAAAAATAAAAAAAATTAAAAATGTGTGCAGAGTAATTAGCAGAAGAAGAAGAAGAAGAAGAAGAAGAAGAAGAGGGTATGAGAGAAAAAGAAATGAAAATGGAAGGGTTTGGCTTAATAACATGGAGGGAAGAAAATGGTTACGTGTTGAATGACAAAGGATGGGAAATGAGAAGACATTTCTGGGAAGGTATCCATGAAAGTGTGTGTAAGCGAATTTAGTTTTTATTACTATTTGGAAAAAAAAATGTGAAAAGTTTTTATGTGGGTCAAAGGTCGTGGGATTGACCGGTTGGCGGCTGAAGAGATATGTTTCTTTTGTGGAATTGCGTCTCTTGGCAATTGGCATGCCTTGTATTTGTGCAGTTATACAATTTTAATTCACTATAAAAAAAAATTAATTAATTAATTTACTGTTTGGGATATTTTGTCTGTTGTGAGGTGGCATTACCCACAGTTTCCAACTTTCTTTCTTCTTGCCAATGGCAATCTAGGCATCTAGCTAGCTCTAGTTGCATCGTCCAAGACTTTTGGTGTTGTGCTGGTGACGTTGATTTGCTACTATCATGCTTCTAAAATGACATTACTTTACTTTTTCATTTAATTTTTAAAAAATGACTATAATATTCATATAAAATTTATCATTAAAAACAATAATTAATTTTTGTCAGGAATCATTAATATACAAAAAAAATAAATATTTTTTTAATATAATCGATTTCATTTATAAGGTCAAAATTTAAATATTGAATAATTTAACTAAAAATATTAAATTTATTATTACTAATGTATAAAATTATTTTATATATAATGAGTGTGAATAGTTTTGAATAATTAATTAGAGTGTAATTTTCATTAAAATTATATGTAATTTTAAAGTATTTTCCATTGTTGACATTTCATATATTGTTATTTTCTATTTTCTTAAAAATAGTAATTAATATATTTTAAAATATTAAAACAATTTATAAAATATAAATAATTTTTTAAAAAAAATTAACAAATAAATTAAGCAAAGATAGTAAATTGCAATCTATAATTTTATATTGATTTAATTAAGGTAAAGGGATTTGCATACACTTATATTGGATAATTAATTAACTTTATAGGTAAACTTTCTCTTTGTTAATTAATGGTGCATGAACATGCAAAAACTCTAATGTTTAAGTAATATATATATATATATATATATATATATATATATATATATATATATTATGTGAGAGAAGTCGTTTCCATATTTATAGTGCAAATAATTGATCTTAGACAATGTAATAGATATTTACTCTATTAAAATTAGTAAGTATTTATGGCTATATCTCGGCATGAAAATACTTGAGAAAACCTTACATGTTTGCTTCTTCAGCAAGGATCAATGGTCATAAATTGTACTGCAATTTTTTTTTAAATGTATTTAGTGTAACAAAACACAATTAACATGCATGATGAATAAGAGTACATGGATATTTTTGAGGAGACATTACCTCATAAATGTGATTAGACTATTCTTATAGTATGTGTTTGTGTGTGCTCTAATAGGCAAATTGGAGCTTAGGTATTAAGAATTTGTCTCAATTAGAAACAAATTAGATCCTCAAATTCTTAAAATCCAATGAGTGTCTAATGAAGTGAAATGGAGACATGTTAACCTTGGTGGATGTGAGATAAAAAAAAAATCATGACTTTTAAGGTCGAATCCATAAGAATGGACGGATTGATACAAATGTTAATATGTTAAATTTTTTTTAAAATATATATTCAAGAATTATAATTATTTGGTATAACTATTTCAATATTTATGAACACATTGTTATCCTAATAATTTTTTTATAATCTATATAAATATTTAAATTTGTTGATGTAAGAAAAAAAACAAACTAATTAAGCTCATAAGAATATAATTAAAAAATAGAGGTGTTTATTGATTCGATTTTTCTTCACATTTTCATAATTTTAAAAACAACCAATCCTTAATTATATTACATTATATTTTTTTTATTTCTTTTAAGATTTGAGGTTCTTTTTAACAAATATATTATAAATGGTATTATAAATTCAAGAATTATCAATGTCTCGTATCATCAATATATATATAGATTATGATCAATCGAATGAACCAAATCAAATCTCTCTGTTATTTTCAATTAGTTTAATATTTTAATTTTAATTTTAAAAAATTAAATAAACTGTATCATTTAACTTTATTTTTTTTCCTTCTAAATTGATGATCTCCGGATACATCCCTATAAAAGATTAATTATAGTATCCAGAAATCTCTTGTGCTGAAAAATGGTCATTATAATAATATTGTTTAATGTTATTCAAGAAGGTTAAATAAAATTTAAACTAATATCAACTCTAGTGGATGATTATTCTATTATTTCGTGATGAATTAAGGTTTAAGGTTTTGTTAAGAGAGGTGCCGCATTTATATTTGTATTGGATTGTATTTCAACAAACATAATTCATTTCGAAGAAATATTTTCAAATTTAAAAGCATAAGAAAAGTTTGTAAGAGAGAGAGGATATTTGATTGGTTCATTTAGTGACAAGAAAATGGTAGTTAAGAGCGATCCAAGTTGTTATGCAACGTACCAATCTAATAAAGATGATACATGATTTGTAGCGACTTGTATAACAAGGGTGTGCCACGTTGTTCTAGAAGGTAGACATAAACCGGGCTTCAAATAATTTTTTTTATGAATTTAATCAAAATATACTAAGAGTTTAATACTAATAATATGGGCCGTGGCCCGCGGGCCGCCCCGCTGGCCTGCCAATTTTTGGCAGGCCAGACCCATCATTTCAGCCTGCCAACCTGCCAAGCCCGCCCCGCCAAGCCCGCCAACCCAGCAGGCCAAATAGCGGGCTGGCCCGTCCCAACCCGTCAAGCCCGCATAGGTAATTTATTGATTTAATGATTGGGCTAGTATAAATAATAGGCTTAATATAAAAAAAAAAAAAAATCAGGCCCAATAGAGCCCATTTGCAGCCACCAAAGAGCCAAAACCTAAACCAATTTCAGCCAACAGCCAAAACGTAAATGAATTCCACCAGCCGCAGCCATCGAAGAGCATACCATTCCCCCTGGTTCTTATGCTTATGGTAACGAGCAATGGTTCCTTTTTTTATAATTTTTTTCCATTTTTTTATTTAAACATAAAATATATATTTTTTTCCATTTTTTTTTTAAATATTTTTTGGGTATACGAGGTAGCCCGCCGGCCCGCCAACCCATCCTTAGG